TCCATGGGAGAAAGATGAGGCTTTCTGCTCTTATAAAGATTTATAGCCTCGGGAACCCTACGCAGGGTCACTAGGAGTCTGAACTGACTCCATGGCACACTACCACCACCACCACATTTGGTCAAACATTTAACCCCTAATGTGATGGCTGGAACTGCTTCTCTTTGGTGAGCTGTGTGATGCCAGGTGGTATTGATGACACTGCCACTTGCAATTGCTTCTCCAGGTTTGTGTCAGTCTAGAGTAGAGTGGACTCTGAGATGGTAAGTTCTGAAAAGAACTGCTCACAGCAGTACGCTGTTCTAAACACAGATGTGTTTTTCAATGCATTTCTCCTCAAAGTAGGAATGTCATCAATGCTTACATAACGTTTATAGAACTCAAGCAGTGGGAGGTTTCAGCTCATCATCACTTTGCAGCGAATGACTGCGTGTTGTAGATTTTCAGGCACATCAGCTGGTTCAACACTGAACAGTGTAGCAAAGATGTTCAATTCCATTTGCTTACTTTTCACATCCTTGAATCTTTCATTAAATGCTTCAAGTTGTTCATTCGCCAGCATATTCAAGTGTCATAGATGGCTTTTGTCTTTCTAGAGTGGGGAAATGCACCGTGTTCTTCCTTTTGAGTTGCACTTTCCACAATCTTAATTTAGCTTCAAATGATTTCACATTTGAAAGCAGGGAGGTGAGAAGCTGACTGAGGCCTTGTAGCTTGACATTCAGAGCTCTGAGAGGTACTTGGTAATGTCCACCATGAGCACTAGATCACACAGCCACTTGCTATCATTGAGTTCCCTGACAGGTTTTCCCTTCTTCTCCATGAACTGCCTGGCTTTAGTCACTGTACTTCAGTGATAAACATGATCACCATTCTCTGAGTCAAGATCATTCAGTAACTCCTTAAACTAGTGGCTGTTAAACTCTCTGCTTTAAAAAAAAAAAATTTGTGAATTATGTGGGAAACCCTCTGCTTTTGACAAAATTTATGTATGACACTACTGTTGACATCACCGGAACGACTGTGCACAGAGACTTCAGTGGGACATGATGCAGTGTCATAATAATTAAATCACTTGGATCAAGACAGAGTTCTTTCCTGACAAATTCAATTAACCCTTTTAACGAGCCAACCACACGGCTGGAGCGCCACCTGTAGTAAGGCCACTTAACTTTTCAAATGTTAAAGTTTTTCATTGATAAACAAGCCTCTCAAACAAGTCTTCACCTCGTGTTGTGCCATGCATGGCTTCCTGTAACAGCAGCTCCTATCATGTGTCAAACTCTGCGTTATCCCAGGAACGAAAATGGCCATTTGGATAGTACTAGTTATGTCCACTGTCTCGTCACAAACCAGAGAGTAAAGCTGGAAATCAGGAGAATCCTTCGTTTTTGTTTTTTTTTCCCCAAGATCTTGTGCTAAGTCAGTAATCTGATCTGAGACGGTTCTTCAAGACAAACTAACACTCTGAAACAATTTTACTTTGTCTAGCGCTAACAACTCCGCAGCAGTCCCCAGGTACTCTTTCACAGAGTCTTCCTCCTCTCTGAGAGGCCTCAGCTTCTTTGGGATTAGCTCGCTCAAAACATAACTCATCAGAATGAAGTTCTCTCTGTCAGCGGACCTAGTGAAAGCACAGCTTGCTGTGATTCCAGACTCTGCTGAAGAGCACTGATTTTATACAGATGCATCTGGCCTCCCAATTCACTGAGTTTAGCATGTTTTGAGCTGTAATGTCCACATAGCCTTTTTTTATTACTGCTAATGTACTGCCACAACTAGGCACACAGGTTTGCCTTTGACTTCAACAAAAAAAATCATTTGTCCATTTCTCTTGGAAAGACTGACAGTCTGCATCACTATTTTTCTTTGTAGTTGCCACTTGTACATCACACCACTTAGGTTTTAATAATTATCCAGTGTGTGTGCTGCCAACGACATAATTATTTTGCTTTGATC